CAACTTGAGGCCATTGCCTCTCATCCTATCGCTGGTTACCAGGGAGAAGAGACCAACCCCCGCCTCACTACACCCTCCTGTCAGGTAGCTGTAGAGAGCGAGAAGGTCCCCCCTCAGCCTCCTCTTCTCCAGACTGAACAGCCCCAGCTCCCTCCGCTGCTCCTCATCAGACTTGTTCTCCAGACCCCTCCCCAGCCTCGCTGCCCTTCTCTGGGCACGCTCCAGCCCCTTGATGTCCTTCTTGGAGTGAGGGGCCCAAAGCTGAACACAGCACTCGAGGTGCGGCCTCACCAGTGCCCAGTACGGTTCTTTGGTTTCACCCCTCAGGGCGGTCCCTGTCCCCTCCCGGCGCGGTTCCTGGCCGTCTCCGTCTGCCCTTTCCCGTCTCACCGGGCTCTTGGGAACCATCTCATGCTGCTGCCAGACCCCAGACCGGCGCGGTGCCCTCTCTTCCTTGCAGACCAGCCCTTCTGGGTCCAGTTTTAAAATCCTCAGTTGGGGAAGCTGCAGCTCCATTCCGACTCTGCTCTCTGCAGCTCCTGTCCCCGCTCAGCGGCAGTTTTGCTCCTCACTGCTGGGCGCGGCTGTTCGGGGCGATGCGGTGTCTGTGGGCCTGGGTGCTTTGGTGCCCTCTGGTCGCTTCCCTCTGTGTCCAGTGGTTGGTTTTCATCAAGTCTCACTGGAAAATGTGACGGAAAAGCTGCACGTGGCGTTGTTAAAAGGCGTTATAAGTGTAACTTTTTTTTCTTCTCAAGGTGGGGTATTCATCATTGCAAACGGAAAATGGAATTCAGCCTTCATGTTGGCCTGAAAAGGGATTTTTTTCCTTAATATTGCAGAACATCAATCGAGTGGTGTTTGTTGGCAATTTCCTTCGGATCAATACCATCTCGATGCGGCTTCTGGCGTACGCGTTGGACTACTGGTCCAAGGGGCAGTTAAAAGCACTCTTCTTGGAACACGAGGTGAAGCTTTAAATTTATTCCGTGTCGTCAAAATCTGAATCCTTCGCGAACCAGCCGCGTGGGGTCCGCAGCCGCTGGCACACGCCGTGTGGTGGGTTCCCGGTGCTTTGCTGCGACAGCCACGGTTACAGAATCCCAGAATGTTGGGGGTTGGCAGGGACCTCTGTGGGTCACCCAGCCCAACCCCCTGCCCAAGCAGGGTCACCCAGAGCAGGCTGCACAGCACCGCGGCCAGGCGGGGCTGGAA